CCCATCTGTATTGAGTTCATAAACTCTTTTGTGCTCTTTTCCAACCACATTCCTTTTATTCTTCTCCTCTTCATTTTCATTTCACCCGATCGTCGTCCCTTCTCCATCATCGTTTTTCTTCTTCTTCCAACCCTTTCTCTCTAAAATAAACATTTTTAACTTTTTCTCTCCCACTTTTTCCCGCATTTTCCTCTGTACTTTTCCTCTGTTCCCTTTCCTCGACGAGGTGCTTCTTCTTCTTCTATTATTAGCTCTCCTACCGTTTTTGAATAGATTGTTTGCCACGTCATCCGGAGAAGGGCCTTCCGTTTGTGTTTTTTAACTATACAGAAGTCCTCGTTTTACCTCTAACAGAGTAGTGCTTTTTCTTCTTTTTCTTCTGCTTTTTTTCCTACGTTTTTATTGTTTTCATCTATTCTACCATTCCATAACAAAATGGATGAAATTGAGTTGAAAAGTTTTGAGAGCGAGAACGAAAAATGCTATCAAAAATTTTCCCTTATCAAAAGGAAGAAGCAAAAAAGAACTTTTCAACTCTAGAATCCACACTTCCTTCAGAAAAGAAAACCACCACCAGAGCATCGTGTATCATTGCTAAATGTTTGGTGAAAATTATATGACCCCTGGGACCATTTTTCAAAGAGGTTTGCCCTTATTGTACCGGGAACCTAACTTTCCTTTTTTTTTTTGAGAATAGTACAGTAGTCTTGGTGCAGCAGAAATGATTCATCTCATGAAGTACAGTAACCCATGTGTTTCTTGGCTCATTGTCTTTCTCAGACCCAATGATTCATGTTGATAGGGTTACGACTCTCTTGGAAAAACCCAAAACCCACCATGTCTCGCTATTTCATGTTTTTGCAACAAAAGCCCGGGGACCTAAAGCTCAGCTTTGGGCTGGACACGAAAGAGAGAGCAAGCTGGTAGAGAGGGAGAGCCAATTTTTGATGGATTATGTCGTTTTGATGGGTAAGAGCACCTGATGCTCCTTAGGGGGATGCGTCTCGACGGATACATGCCTTCAGAAGGAGGAGGATGGGAGTGGAGGAGTCTCCAAACGTTTATGGTGTGTGAGTATGATTGATGGCCTAGGTTCGTTTATACACTATGACAACTTCTTTAGTTTCGAAGATACACGATTGAGTGTGTGCCAAACAAAACTTGCGACTTTTCCTCTCTCTGTGATTACATCTTCACACTTATTCCCGATTGGCTTACCGTAGTACTTGGGTCGCGAGGGGGAGTTAGATTCTTTGGATTCTTGGAGTTCCTGGTTTCTTTCTTTCCGGGGGTTTTATATTTTCCCAGTTTACCAAATAGTTTTAGTTTACCAATTCGTTTTAGATAGTATCTAAGTATTATCATTTCTACAGAAGTAAACTTCATCGCTTGAGCGTGAATTGAAAGATTCTTATAAGAACTTATGAACTTCGTACTGTCCAGGCTTGCTCGATAAACTCTATTCGGGAAATCGGATATCCATTCTTTTTCCGATTTTTTTTTGAAACACTGTTTGTTTTTAGTGTGGGGCCGTCCGTTACGGACAATTTACGGACATTTAACGGTTGAAAACTGCGGAAAACAACAAAAGTATCGGCAAATTTAACCTACCGTAATCTCCAAAAAACTTTAAAAAAGGCGGAGAATACCGTCGGTAGATTTTTCTCTTTAAAAAAAGCTAGGAAAATTTTCCCTTTTTTTGTAAATTTTTCTGTCTGGAAATTTTTCCGAAAAAAAGTCGGAAAAATCGGTAAATCTGTGTTCATTTTCCGACTCCGAGCAAGTCTGGTGTTGACTGAACTTAATGACTTTTGAGTTGAAAATCATGAGCAATCTAAACTTTTTGAGGTTTTCTGTTCAAATACTGTAGGAACCGATAGCTTCGGATCTGACTTTCTTAAAAACCGGGGACCCAATTTTCCGGAAAAGAGAGGAAGAAGCATTCCAAAAACCTCATTTCGGACCAGCTCCCCAAATATTCCAATTTAATACATGTTCACCTCTAACCTCATCTGTTCATTTTGTCCTCCTCATTCTCAATTTCCTTCATCCCATTTGTCTTTTTGTCCTTTTGTGGCTTCCTCCCTATATTCCTCCTGGTCCATCTTTTCCCATATTTCGAAGAATCCGAAGCAACACATACATAACCAGCAAAAAAGAGTAACCCATAAATTTGCGGCTTCTCCTTCACCACCGAAAGCCAAAAAGAAGAAGAAGAAGGCCTCATTTCCAAATAAATTCATATTTTTAGGGCTCCTTTCTGTTCTAGGTTTTGTAGGTCCGCCCCGTTTATAAGTTTGCTTCCCGAGGGGCTCTTCTTCTTGTTACCAATTTATCTGTTTCTGATTTCTTTTAAGTTTTCCGTCCACTTGAAAAAAAAACCGTCAAAATTTCTCAAATTTCAGACTTCCTTCAAAAGCCTTCAAGTTTTTTTGGTCAATTGTGCTGCACGGTAAGTGGAAATCCTAGGTTGAGTTACTGTAAGTGTGCCTGCGTACTCTTCCAACCCCAATTCTTCCTTCTATTCATCACCCAACCCAATTCATTATTGTTCTCAATTTTTCTTTTTCTCCAAATTTCCGATAAGTGCTCTCCAGAACCGCCGCGAGATTTCTGACAATAGGAAAAAGCCAGGGGTCTGAAGATTTGATGAGTTTTGGAACACTTTACACACAAGTTTTTAGGAGGTCTATTGAGAAGACACGGGTGGTGGTGGTTTTGGGGTGACATCCATCTGGTTTAGGTTACTTTTGAGAACAAAAAAACGGAAGAAGCGAATGAGAGGAACAGTTTGAAATCATTTGATTCACATTATTTGAGTTTTGTGTTTTTTTACAACAAAAAATAATTGTTTAACAAGACTAGAAGTTTGTTTTGAGCTTCAGTAGTCGTTTCTTGTCAATGGCTTTCAGAATTTAACCTTTGTTAAAGGAACGATCTTCTGAAACCAATTTTTCGAGACCTTTCAAAATTCAAGGAAATATCTCCGGGGAAAAATTTGTCGGAAAAGTTGGGCGGAGCCTGAATTGCAAGGTGGGCACGGTTTTACCACACTGTTTTTCTTTCTGCACATTGCATATGGTCGTGAGGAAAACCCTGGGGCAAAACTGTGCGCAATTTGAAATTTAGGCTCCACCCCCTGACTCCGCCCACTTTTACCAGTTAAATGTTTTCTTCGGTGTTTGAGGAGCCTCAATTTTTCAGTAGTATTGTTTGGCATGCATAACCTATCCTTTTTATAAGGAAGAGTTTCCAGTTACGGTAAAGAGACGTATTTTTTCTGTAATTTAGTTTTGGCTTATATTTTTCAAAAAAAAAAAAAATATATATATAATTCAAGATTTAGGAAACTAAAAATCTTTGATGTAGTTATCAAAAGTTAAATAAATCTAGACAAGATTTTACTCTTTTTTTTTCTTATTTCCAAGACCCCAGAATTTCCAAACTATTTAGCATGAATGCCTCAGAATTTCCAAACTATTTAGCATGAATTCTCTATCTATTGGGTTCTTGTTTATTTACTCAATTTTCTCCCAATTTTCCTTTTCTTATATCCTCACCCTGTATATAATAATACGAGTCAATTTTCCCAACCCAAACCGTATTCTCTTCTATGGAGCACGCGATGACAATGATGCTCTGACTCATTTCGGGGAACAAAATTGGCGATCATTACTAATATTTTCAACCCTCTCCGCTTCCTATTCGACCCTTTTGTCATGAAATGAACCAAACCAACGGAAATTTCCTGTTCGTTTTTCGTAACTTTTGAAGTCGAAGTTTAGGTTTTTGCGAACGGAACATTGTGTTGAACAAGTTGAGAGAGTGAGATAGCCCACTTCTTTTTCGCCTTCTGGGGTAGATTTCTATCTTTTTTATGCGTAATGAGAAGGAGGAAAGGCCGAGAAAGATTTGAAGAAATATACAATATGGTTTACTTTCGAGATAATACAAGTTTTTGAGATCGGGAGATTTAGGTTTTTTTTAGGTTTGTATTAAAGTTTCTTGGTGACCATTGAAAGCCCTTAAAGTAGTTGGGTTCCAGAAAATTCTCTAAAATATCATTTACAATCAGATGTTCAAATAATTTTATTCCATTTCATTTCTCCACTATATCAAAAACAACCAAATCGTTTCTCATTTTGTCAAAATCCCAAAATCGGCTCTTCGCAGAGACGATCACCTTATTCTTTCACTCTCTTTTCCTCTCTTAACTGATACGACGTCATTCACCCCGCACGAGTCCGAAGAAGAAGCTTACTGATAAGCTCTGAGAGATCTTCTCAAGAGAGAGAGTCAGTTTTTCAACTGAGTTTTCAACAAACTCAGGTAGAGTTATCACATATTTTTTCTCGTATCTACTGTATTTACTCCGGAAAATCTGGACTATAATAATGAGATGACAGACATCTGAATATCACTTTTTCGATATGCTTGGAGAAAAAATAGAATCTCTTGGCATCTAATGCTTCCTCGAAATATCTTTTTATTTGGTCTGTTTTCTTGAAAGTTGGAATTCCAAATGCCGTAAACACTCTAATAGAAGCCCACCCTACAAAGTGCTGTTTGAGCTGAGTTATCTCGATTTCTATAAGAGATAACGAAAATCTGTCAACTGATAAAGCATTTGAAATAAAATCATCAACATTTTAGCAGTTGACACATTTTTGATCTTCTCTTACCTTCTATTAGAAATTACGGTAGCTGATGTGAGGTTGTATTCAAAAAGGTTATTTTGAAATTTAAATGTTTTAATGTCTTTTTTTCAGTACTGCATTTTTCAATTTTCAGAAGTAAAGTACTTCTAAATTCTCCGGAATTTTGACTGTCAACATACCGTAATACCTGTAATAGAAGGGCCCCGCACTGCTAAGTTAGAAGTCAATTATCTCGGCTCCGATAGGAGATATCAAAAATGAGACAACTGATGAAATATTTATGAAATCATGATAAACAATTTATTAGTTGACATTTTTTTTGTATTTTTGACAAGAACCGAGATGAATTGGCTCGGGAAGTTAGAGAGCCCTTCTAAAACAGGTTTTACGGTACTTCATAATTCCATAAGCTTGAAAACAGTATCTTCAGCCCAATCTGTTAAAAATTTCCAATATATAAATAACTTAGAAAAAATTTCAACAGCAACCACCAGTGTTTTCTTAAAACCCACAGTTAATCCGCTTTTCGGGTACTAGACACCTGAATTGATTCATCGGATTCTCGCGTCTTATCTGTACCCATGAGCAAAGACTATGAGTGGCTGAGAGTGACCTACACGAAATCCTCTTCGGTTATTTGATTTCTGAAAATGAGCTTTTTATGATTTTTGAAAACCAAAAATGTTTGTTAAAAACTGATTTCACAACTGTCAATATTTTGACAATATTTTCAGATTTCGACAAGATGATAATCTTTCATTTCACTCACCCTATCCAAATTCCTTTCAGATTAGAATCTAGCTCCGTAAAAGTTAATTAGGGGTCCGAACCAGGTGCAAGAAAATCTATTGAATGAGGTTACTTACCTATTCTGAATCTGAGTTTTCCCACGGTTCAAACTTCTTGTTATTCTTCATCTCCGAAGACTTTTGGACACAACAGGAGTTCTCAGAACATGTCTTAAATCTACCCTCCCACTCCAGAAGATTCGCAGCCCAGAAAATATTTCAACACCCACTGATCTTTCATTATCATAGGTGCTTCATGCTTACCCGAAGAAGATTATCCCTTCTTACCGGTTGTTGATGGGGTCTCCTCTTCACATTATCTTTCTTCTAGTTTCTTCAGTTCCCAATTTACTAAGTGTCTAAAATATATCTTATCCCTTCTTTTTCTTTTGCTCTTTCTCTTTCTCTCCCAAGCTTCGCCCCACCCCTTCCTGTCTTATGTTGAAAATATAATCGGCCTAAAAAGAGATGAAGAAGACCCATGATAGATAGAGAAATCCAAATGAATATATAAGAGTAGTTCTGGTTTTGCGGAATCAAACATATAGACCCACTTCCCATATCGTCTCCGAGAAAGTTCGACAATAAATCTTTTTTTGCTTTTAAAAAAGAATAATTGAAGAATTGAACGAAGAGGAAGAAGGAACAGTACAAAACAGCCACACACCTAAAGAGTAACTTCTAATCGAAAGATAAGAGTGAAATTAAATTATTATAAGCATTCCACTACAAAAAACCGCATTTTAATAAACACAATGCAATCCAAATTGGAACGTCCAATTTCGCAGTATTCCTACTTTTATTATGATGGTCGAAGTCAAACAATTGCGGCGAACAGACGTTGTAAAGGTCAGAATATTCTTGAATTCGGCTTTTTTCTCTTCAGTTCATACGTTCCGATATCGTACCATCCGAAAATATAAAGCGTACGAGAGTGATTTTATCTGTATGATTGGAGGGAAAGACCTTAAGAAAAATAGTGAACAGGACATTTTTCTGTAGGACATATTTCAATTGCTTTTTTTTTCTTTTTTCATCATTATCTGTACTTTATGCAACGATCTTGAAGTTTTCAGGGATAGTTATGCTCCAAAACATACTGACCGTATTTCCACTAATAGAAGCCCACAAAGCACGTCAACTTTGAGCCTATGTATCTCACTTCCTGTCAAAGATATCAAAAAGTTGTTAAATGATAAAATGTTGCTGATATTATGATAAACAGTTGACAAGTTGTTTATATCTTTTTCGGTGAATGAGATAATTGAGCTCAACGTTGAGGGCTTGGGTGGGCTTCTATGAAAGGAAAAACGGTAATTTTTTTTCTTTTTACCCCAGGGTATCAAGCAAAAAGAGCAATTCAGCAAAATTGTTTTTCTACTACGGTACTTTCTTTATAATTTTCTCTTTTCAATTTTCCACTCAATCTATTTTATTCTTCCTCATGTTTACAGTAGGATTCACCTCAAGCCCAAAACGAATTCATAAGAACTAGAAACATCAAGCCGTATGTATTGTGTCACAGATAGACTAACTCAAGCTTTTTTTTCTTCATCCACGGATAAGCGTTGTGACGTCGATCTATGTGATTCTCTGTCACCCAGTTCAATCGGAAGTCTCTATGTTGAAACCTAATAGACACCTAAATTCATAGAAATGCTGATCGTTCATATATATTTGCCAATCGTAAAAGGGATACAACTCAAAACCCAACATATACAGAACAGTCCTGTGCCTTCCCGGTGGCTACGTTTTGCACATAATGGCGAAACGATCGCAATATATCACATTGTTTGCGGGCGGCCCATCTGAACTAACACTGGAAGAATGCGCCAAAGGAAAAAGGAGGCGCCTTTTACCTCAAAATCATCACATTTTACTTTTCATATATATTTAACTGTATACTGACATTCGTGCTTGGTTTCTCTAATAAGTTATTCCAGGGAAAAAATGAAACAAAAACAAATAGAAACCCATTTTTTATTCCGTTTTGCGGGTATTCGTGGGAAATCACCTTTGTCACAAAACCGTTTTTTCTATACTTTTTTGTTTCAATTCGTGGCTGATTTGAAAAAATATGTTATCAGCTAGTTTTGAGATTTTTAAATTTAAAAAAAAACCACCAACCATACACCATAATCTCTAGTCTAGAATACAGAAAACCCTGTAATAGAAGGGCCCTCTAACGTTTAACTTTGAGCAATTTTTTCTCGGTTTCTGCCAAAGATATAAAGAAGTTGTCAACTGATAAATTGTTCATCATAATATCACAAATATTTTATCAGTTGACACATTTTTGATATCTTACACAGAAACAAGATATATGGGTTCAAAATTGACGGTTTGACATTCTGTTAGAGTGTTTACGGTAGTTATTAAATCTAGAAATCCTTGTAGAGCCAGAGCTAAACAGCTCCTAGAATACATACACGGTCATAAAACAAAGAAATATTGTCCACTGTATCTGTTCGTACCGGGGAATATGTTTTATGATTCCAGGCGGTGGGAGCCAATGCATTAAATCAAATCATAACCCGTTTTCCACCCTATTCCATTTTTATACGGTTCACCCCTCTCCCACTGTCTTTTCCTTATTCTTTTCCATCTTTTTTTCTTACTCCTATTCTTTTTATTTTTCAGGTGTTGCATGCGAAAACGTTCTCGAACGTGGTAACTCGACAAACACAATGAGCAGCGATTGTAGCAGTGCAGATACTGACGGACCCCCAGAGACAAAACGATTTCGGATTGATATGAATACTCAGGTGGGTTTTTCTTCTCACTCGCAAGTTCAAAAACTTGTTTTGTTCTCCGCATAAAAAATGATAACCAGGAATCAGAAAGCAATCTTAAAATCCTTTATCAATCGAAATGATAGGTGGTGATGTTAGAAGGATGTGGGAGAATCAAATCCAAGGGATTGTAGAAATCCTTTTTTTCATCTCCATTTCATTTCTTAAGCAATATCACATCTGTGATGGCTAAGACTTCCAGTAGAAAATCTCAAAAAAAAAAGCAATTTCAATAATTGAAAAGGATAAAGTTGAAATCCGCCTATGCCTTATTGTCAACTGATATTTCGACATATCCTTGTCTGGGATCTCTTCTGAAGATTTGAAAACGAAAACGAAACGTGTATTCTTTGGAATTCAAATGGCGGATGATTTCGATTTTAAATATCGGTCAACACATAGGGGATGAGTTGGCTGGAAACAGACATCAGAAATGAGCAGGATTTGAGAATTTTGAATCAAGACAATTGAAAAAAGATGAGGGGGCAACAAAGAAAATGTGTATTGATAAGGGATGTCAATAGTAGATTTGATAGAGGATATTCGTAAATTTAGTGACTGGCGGATCAGGTGTGTATTTGTATTTTTCTAGTATCCTCAAAATTAAAAAATGAATAGTTGATCAGTTTCTGTGAAAACTTGGTTTTCTTATCACCGTTATTCTTTTCACATACTGACTCTAGACTTTTGTCCCCACCCAACTCGAAATTCCAGATCATCCACCTTCTCAACCCGGATTTAGTAATTCTCCGGCGGAGAGGGATAAATAGATTCGCGCTATAAAAGTGGGAGAAAACCCAACCTTTTTTAGTTTCCTCATTTCTTGTCAGTTCTAGATTTTCCATTTTAGAGAATCGATTGGCATCAAAACACCCTAAAAAATCTGTAATAGAAGGACACCCACACCGTCAACGTTGAGCTCAATTATCTCGATACCTTTTGAAAATAACAAAACTTTGACAACTAATGAATTCTTTATCATAAAATTACCAACATTTTATCAGTCAACAGGCTTTAATATGTTTACCACGAATCGAGATAATTGAGCTCAAACTTGACGCTTTGGGTAGGCTTCGGTAAGAGAAAATTCGATAAACTCGCCAACTTTCAAACTTTTCTTGACCAACTTCTTATAAAATCCAACATTCCAGGCCGGCCTCGATGTTCCATCAGTCTCCACTAACTGTGCAGTCGGCGGTGAAGCATCCCAAGACGGACAGTCCCCCGCAGGTCCCTCTTCAGCCAGCTATCGTTCCTCTAACAGCAGTGTCATCTCATCATCAGAATCACCGAACAAAGTAGAAGACGTTGATGTTGGGCCTGAAGAGGAGGATGAACCAGAAGACATGGAAATGGATGGGAATGATATTGGAGCTACTGGAACCATTGTCAACAATTCGGAGATTTTTGAAATGCTCAACAAAACCTTTGGAGGAGTTTTCAATTGTGATCTGGAGGGAATCATGCGACCAAATGCACTTTTACACTCATCCTCTCCACCTACACCAGTTCAGTCAGTTGTTCCTGGAGCAATCACAGTGGCTCAGAGCCCAGCAGCTCAACTCTTCGCAAATGATGACTGGAGTTGGCATCGGAATCCAGCTGCATCGATTCGTAGTGGTGGAACTAACAAACAAACTCCTGTCTGGAAATACTTTGTCTACAATAAGGCTGAAAACTTGAGCAGGTAAAAATAAAGCATCACATTTAGATATCTATGATTTCATACTTTAGATGCATCGTTGGAGATTGTACGTACATGTTGAAAGGACCACATACGTCTACTTTGGCATGCCATTTGAAGAAACACACTCGGGAATATTCAGAGTTCCAAAAACTCAAGACCGAATATTCTCGCACAAAGTTGGACCAAGTTCCGAAGATTCCAGACGGAGCTCCTCATCCATTGACTCTTCAAACTCAGAATGGTACAAGACAAACTGGATCTCCTGCATCAACATGCAATACAAATACCAATTCTTCTTCATCTGCTTCCTCTGGATCTGCATCTGGACCTACTTCTGGATCCAATTCTACTATGGATTTGAGCATGAAGAAACCAAAAAAGGAACCGAGTTCTACCAAATTAAACGAGATGTTGTTGAATGGTCTTCGTCAAGTTTCCGCCACCAATTCGACTGGATCCCCGCCAACTACTCCCCAGCAGCCTCCTCCAATGATGCCAAACTTTGTGACCAATATGATGCTCCAGATGAATCCATTGCACATGATGTTGGCTCAGACACTTCCAGCTGCCAATCCACCAACCTCTACAAGTGCGACGAACACTGGATTGAATGCTCTTCAACAAGCCGGATTTGCTCTGGCTGCTAATGGACAAATCATTCAGTCAAAGAAATGGAGAAACGATGAGAAGAAGCAGAAAGAGCTTTCTTCGAAACTCGCTTTGGCACTTGCCACGTCACACATCGATCCGGAAATCCTCCAAAATCCATTGTGGAAAGAGTTCTTTGAAATGGCCCAGCCGAAATTCACAATTCCAACTGGTTCTCAATATGAAACCATTGTGAATTCATTTGCTCAGAAATTGGTCCAATCTGTGAAATCCCAACTTTCCACCACCAAAAAACTCAATCTTCTGCTCGATATCACCAAGATAACAGCTGATATTTCACGAGTAACAATATCAGCCGCGATTCCTGTTGGATCTGGAAACAGCTATGATACTCAAGTGATTCTTCTTGCTTTCCGTAATATCGGCGGAACTCAATCAGAAGATTTGAACGCAGTTTTTGTGAAAGTTCTGGAAGACTACAGTATCTCTCCATCGTCGATAAATCGTGTCATTTGTTCTGGGCTCAATGAAATCACCGAAAATACTGAACTTCCGAAACAAATGGAATCATTCTCCTCTCGACTTTCCCATTGCTTCCATACATGGATCAAATCATCTCCAACTCTTGAATCTCTCCGAAAGAATATTTTCACCATGGTTTTCTCCTATCTCACAGCTCCAGGTGCAATGCAACGTGCCAGTCAAATGCTGAAGACCAAATTCGAGTTGCCTGTGACCGAGAGCTTCAGTTTCATAATCGAAGATCTTCTCACCCATCGGGAAATCTACCAATTGAAAATGGAAGGTCTTCAGCCAATTTCAGATCGCGAATGGAACAAAGTTATTGGAATCCACAGTATCATGAACATCTTCAAACCACTGATGAACTACACAACAGAAATGACTACTGTGGATACAGTAATCCCAACAATTGTTCAAATCAAAAATGTTCTAGAAAAGGTTGGTTTCCCTCTTTTAAGAATGTTTTTTGATAAATCATTTTCAGGATGTCTATCAACTTGGAGAAATCGGTTCGGATCTTTTGTCGTCTTTGAAACAAACGGTCGCATTTATCATGGATCCAGAACACGAGCAGTTCGATTCCACATACATTCAGGCGACTGCTCTGAATCCACAAATGGCTGTAACTCTGAACTCGGATCAAATGTCACTCGCCAAATCACTAATCGAATCAGAAATCTCGAAGAGATCCAAGAATTTGAAGAAGGTTCAAAATGTGAAGAAACTTGCAATGGGAGTAGATTCGTTGCTTGCCAATGTCCTGAAAAAAGGAGATGGATCCGATGGAGGAGCATGTGATGCATTGTCCATTTATGGAGATTTATTCCAATCAATCACTGCCGGAAATAGCTCTGAATCGAAGGAGAATGTTGTGAATCAATACTTTGATGAAATTTCCACTGCGGTGAGTTCTTGCAAAGTTTCTGATGACGTGTAGATCACAAAGTGTCTATCAACTGAACGATAATCTTAGCACTTTCCGTTGATTGCTTTCCCTAAGAAAAAGGATAATCTCCACGGGTGGCAGTACCTTCTGTAAATAAGAAGATGAAAAGTAATCGAGATGTTGATGTTGAAAAAAAGTGATTTGTGCTGTGATCCTGTGATCCTGTTGAAAATCTGAAAATCCTGTTGAAATATTCTAGAAACGTTTTCGCGGTAAACAGTTCATGAATCGTATTAGTTTAGGAAGAATCACATGTGCTAAGGAAATATTTATTCATAAAAAAATAATTTTTTTTTTAATTTTAATCCATGTTTTTTCCAGAATTCCGTCGAGAGTATGTTCATGCTTCGAACCTTCGGAAATCCGATGCAAGCCCCACTGTCCTATTGGAAATCGTGCTCTTCTCGATGCTCCGAACTCTCCGAACTTGCCACCGAACTCCTCTCAATCCCAATTTTTACTCTTACTACTGAAAAAGTTCTAAGCTTCTCTCCTTCTTCATCCACATTGAATACTAATCTTATCCTTACCAATTTGAATTCTTGTGAGCAATTTGAAAAACAATTACTACTCCGTTTCAACCGTCAAATTGTTGCTAAACTCTTCAGTTAGATTTCAGATTACTCCCCCCGTTTGCTTGATACGTGTCTTTTTTGTTCCTGCAGCTTTTCCTTCTCCCGAACCAAAAAAATCTCCTAGTCTTCTTTCCTCTCCACAGAACTTTCTTTCTCTTCCATGCCATGTGTCTCGATAGTTCCTTTTTCGCAAAATTCCCTTCTTTGCTTTAATATATTCTTGAGTTTATCTTGCCTACTACTCCATGCAAATGTGCTCTATTCTTGACTACCAATAGAGCATGATTTCCTAAGCATAATGCTTGATCGCAGTTTTATTTATTGTTGTATTTATTTCAGTTTTGTGCAAAACTCCAAAAATTAAAAACGGTGATATATATTTTTCCCCTCTAAAAACTTCTTCCCAGCAAACCAATGTGCAATTTAATTTTCCTCTTTCTTTCGACTATTTTCCCCCCATTCCATGGCTTTTTGCATGTGATACAACCAAATTTTGTATTTATTGTTTCCCAATACATTTTTATTACCCCCCCCCTTTGCGTTTTCGGTGGCTTTTTTCTTTCTCTCCAAAAAATGTTTTACATAAAAGTATTTTATTTTTGATCACAAAGCAAACCCAGAATGAAACAAAAAGTATTATGCAACGAACTGAATAAAACAAAAAAAACATGAAAAATAAATTAAAATTGGCTTCCGTTCTCCACTGAAATTCCAGGTTGGTTAGGCAGAAAAGCCAGTGTGTGTTTCCCTTTTGCTGTCATTTTTCCATCAGATTTCCGTCTGAATTCACAATCTGTGAATGCCATTGAACGACCCACTTTCAGAACATGTGCAGTGATTTGCAGAACATCACCAACTTTGACAGGAAGGAGATAACTGAAAGTTGGAAGATGAAGGATTCAAAATGATATTTTTGAATACCTGACTGCCAGTTCAACGGAAGCCATTCCTTTATCTTTGACTGTTACTCCGACAGCCCGAGCAGTGATAACATCTGTTAGTGTTGCAGTTTGACCACCATGAAGAGTACCCTGGAAGACATTTGTCTATTTTCAACTATTTTTGATTCAATTGATACCTTTGAGTTCAGGTGCTGCTCTTGAACAACCATCTCACACACTAGTTTGGTTTTAGTGACTTCAACTGGATACACCTGCAATACAGAATTTAATTTATTTAATTGTGAATATTTAAAATTTTGTTTAAAATAAAAATAAAAATACTTACATCTTCAGCTACACGATTGAAATTAGTGGATCCTTTCATTCGTTCGAATACTCTCACCTGCTCGGCGAGCAACTCCTCGTTTGTCTGAAATCGACTGATTTAAAAGAAAAGCCTTTTTAAAAATCATACCGGCTCTGTAACAATGTCTGCTGGGGATTCGGAGTGACTGACCATTTTTAGGTGAGACAATCTGAAATGATGAATGATTTCTTGTTATAGTTATCAGTGGGAGAATAGTTATCAGTGGGAGTCCATTTCCGCATACGGTGAAAGGGTGGAAAGTACAATGTTCGCAGTACGAAAAAAAGGACAAGAAGCTAAAAAGTTATGATATTAAAAAAAAAAAGAAAATAAAAAAATCTTTCGACATTTTTTTTGCAAAACTTTCGATAAAACTTTTCACCGAGCGGCTTGCGCCTTTAAATCTACAGTAATTTCGCAATCATAATTTTTGGTTCAGTACTCTGAATAAAAAAGCTTTTGACAATGAAAAAACATGTCAAGTTGAGGCAATGTGTCAAGGTTATTTTCCCAAGACAATCCTCATCCGAAGGACAAATCTTTCGGAAACAAAAAAGATGAAAATGAGAGATATAGAGAGAGGGAAGAGACACAGACACATTGACTAGTACTTTCGGTATGGGGGCAGAAAAGTTTTTTTTTAAATGTTATCATCTCATTCGAAAACATTTTTCAATTTTTAGATTTTTTTCTTGAAGATGTGCTTTGCAGATAAAAAGAAATAGGATTGTTTTCTGGTAAGAAAGCCACAGGGTTTTCTCATGCGGAAAGAATGTAGAGAAAAACGGATATTGAAATAGATTCGGAATAAATAAGCGACTATTCTCTTTTTGAAATGTTTTTTTACACATTCTGATGTATGATTTATGATTTGAAGAATGTTGTTTCATAATCATGCTTCGATTTACTGTAAATACCATTCCTCTACACGATCAGGCCACTTCTGGTCTGATGAACACAGAATCGTGGGGTCGTTGCTTTGGAGAAGATCTTCTAAAACTTTATGTATTGAAAAATTTTCAAATGTTTCCATTCTGACTCATCTCCAATATCTCTCCTACTGTAACCCCCATATTTCATTATAATAATACTTGTAAAATTCCGGGAGGAGCGCCCGGCCCGGCCCCGAAGGCCCGGTAGCAAAAATTTTGTCATTTTGAACCGAATTTTGAGCTCTCAATACAATTTTCTATATTTTTTTGTGCTTTTTTGAATTATTTGTCTGTTTGATCAAAAAATATCAAAAAAAAACTCGAAAAAAATTTTTTGATCGAAAACTATCACATAAGGGTCCCCCCTCATGTGTTTTTTGAAATTTTCAAAACTTGTGGAATGACAGGCCCGCCGGGCCGGGCCGGGCCTCCGAAATTCGGGAAAAAGCCCAGCCCGTCCCGACCCGTTACAAGTATGATTATAATCTTTTTCTTTGTTTCCGAATATCTATACACAAACTCTTTAGTGTGAATCTCTATTCTGACTCATTTCATTTGCTCTCACACAAAACGTCAGTTGTCGTCCACTTCTTATTCTTCTTCTTCTTTACCAAATGGAATTCAAAGGGCACAACCGATTTTTTCATTCTTCTTGTCGCCCAAGCTCAACTAACCCCAGTCTCGTCTTGTTTCTTTCCATTTATTGCCTTCATTTTGCTAGTGAGTAGTGTTTTATATAAGGTTCCATTTGTAAATTAGGACTTGAGAACGAAGGGTTTTGAAATTTTTTTTTAATTTCTGGATTTTTGGATCCTAAGTGTTAGTGTAAGCACTGTTTTTCGAACAAGATAGCTGGTATGCAAAAATCTGAGCCGTGGAAGAGAAAATCTGACAGCCACGGCCGAACTACCGTAATTATCAAATACTAGTGACTTTCTATTTTTCTCGATTTTCGTCCTTTTTCCGGCATTTTTTTTTGGATTCAGAAAACATATTTTATTTTCGGACTTTTTTCGAGGTTATCTACACAAAAATTGTAGAAAAGTAATCGAGAAAACAGGTCGGAAAGTTTTAGGTTACTGTGGTTTTCGTTATGGGTACTGTTGGCCAAGCCCACGATCTTTTCTCGTTCAGAGCTACGAGTTTTGCAAAGTTTTGCATACAGAGCTACGAGTTTTGTATAATATACCCTATAACCTGTAATAGAAGGGCCTACATTGTCAAGTTTGAGCTCAATTATCTCGATTCCTATATGAGATATCAGAAATCTGTTGATAACTTTTTTATATCTCGGACAAGAGCCGAGATAAATTGGCTCAAAAGAGACATTTTTTTCTTCAATTAAAGGTTTTACGGTATCAAGCGGTTAGCTCAAAAAACTTATTTCATCTGCTCTATCCACTAACTTGTTCCTTTGGTCGAAAAGTAACAACAATACACACATTAGTTCCGCCGCTCCGAATCATCATCATCATCCCCATCACAATGGGAGAGTGTGAAACGGAATCTCTGGAGTCCGCCTTCTTTTCCTGCTTCTTCTTCTTCTTAGTGTCTACTCAGTATTACATTCTTTTTCAAATGTTTACCAGTGTGTCTTGAGGGGGAGGAAGGCAGTAACGGAAACGAAACGAATACATATCACATTTCATTTTCAATCATAATTCACTTTCCGTTGTGAGAACATTATCTTATTGGCACTCTCTTTTTTATAGTTTTAGGTCAATATGGAAAAATGTTATTCTAGGTTTCTAAACACAATTTGTAGGTCACAGAACTGTAATCATATACCGTAAAACCTTTAACAGAAGGGCCTTCACACTGTCCAGTTTGAGCTCAATCATCTCCGTTCCTGATAAAATGTCTGTGATATCATGATAAACAATTTATCAGTTGATGACTATTTCATATCTTTCACATGAATCAAGATAAATTGGCGTAAAGTTAAAAGCTAAGGGATCTTTTATTATAGGTTTTACGGTGTATGAAAAAGTAAAAATAATTCGGGAGCTTTGATTGGAAGCGTTTCAAAGGAACAAAAGTTTTGATCTGATTCCTCAATGTGGTCCCAAGTATATTTTTTAACCAAAAAACAAATATTCTGGGATTCGGGACCATGCAAAAAATTTCCGAATCCTTTCTTCATAGCTAATCCATCCCCGGATTTCATTCCTTCTTCCTTATTTTTCTTTATTTCTCATCCTCCAGCTTCTTCTTCTTCTGCTTCTTGTATTACAACAGAACGAGTGACCAGCAGGAGGCAACCTGCCTTCATTCTCCTCTTCTTTCCCTCAATACTGCCCCCGCAATCGTCTCTGTTTTGTCTCAAGAAAATTCTCACAATTCCTTGGCTTTTTCATCCGAGAAAAAGAAGAAGAAGAAACCAGAGGATGAATCAAATCGACCGGTTTTCAATTATTCTAATCAATTCACTTTTTCGCGGCATATCAATATATCCACAAAAATCAGTTGAATGTGAATTCAACCATGAATCATTTGTCCATTCTTTAAAAAAGAAGGTTCTCCAAACTGCTCATCCGTTTCATTCGTTTTCTTTTCATTTTTTGTTTACCATCATCTTTCTCCTGCAGTATAGTTTTCATTCCATTTTCTCTTCCATGGCTTTCAATTCAATATCAAAACTTATTTTTTTTCGAAATTTCCTATGATGCATCATGATGTTGTATACGACTCTCTCTCCGATGCTTCCAGAGTGTTCACTTTACACATCGCTTTCCGTCGCTTCTGGCTCCTGGAGAGCTGCTCGAGTCTTCCTTCTTATGACCGCCGCTATTTTAAACTCAAAACTACTTTTTTCGAAAATGAGCCCTCTCAAAACGGCTAGTACTTTCTATTCCCCTCTTTTTTCTTCAGTACCCATTCGAGTAGTCGTTTCTTTGAGAAATGGATAGAGGTCATCGTCTGTCTCTTGAACTTTCAGATAATGGGTTTTTCTTTTTAGATATTTCCATTTAGAAACGAATCGAGGCTTTAGAAGTAAAATTCAAAATTCAACTAAAAAAATTATTCGAGGTACCGGAAAACCTGTAAAAGAAGGCGCTCTTACATTGCCAAGTTTGAGCCTATATATCTAATTTTCTGTAAAAGATATCAAAAAGAGGTCAACCAACAAAATAACTGTGATATTATGATAAACACCAGTCGGTTTACGCCCCCTGTCGGGGGCTCAACCTCCTGACTTCCGCTTTCTGTATCTTACAATTTAATTTTTAATTTAAAAATTTTCGAGTTTCCGAGTTTCCGAATTCACCAAAATTTGTGAAAGTTTGTGAAATTTGTGAAATGCATACTATCAATTTTCTTTGAGGAATATTTGATTTCCCAAATTTTCCAAATTTCCAAACTATTGAGTTTTTATGTCCTGAAATCCGGAGTATGTGAACTCCCGGTTTCCTAAAGTTTCAAATTTTGGATAACTAAATGTCAGGTTTACTAAACTTTCTGGTCTCCGAAAATTCTGAATTTCGAAATTTTCGAATTTTGAAAAACAGTCGGTTTGCGCCCCTTCGGGCTGAGCCTCCTAGCTCCCGCTTACAGTAACCGTTGTCTTATAGACAGGTTTTGTCATTTTTCCAGAGGCCTATTTTTTCATGGTCTGTTAGGGAATTTCGAAATTCGATATTTTGGTTATTTAGAATTCCTAGAATTCGGAAAGTCGGCAGTAAGAAAATCCGGAAATTGAAAAAGTAAGACACTCGCAAGTTCAGAGATTAGTAAATTTTTAAAAATCAGATGTAGGAAAACATTAATTTTGAAATCTAGAAAAGTGTTTCAATCTGTATGTGTCAAATGCCCAAAATTTGGTATATCAAATTTTAAGGAATCGGAAAATTCAGGTTTTTGCATACTTACTAAATGCCGGGCTGGCCTGTCCGCAAAATTTATAGAATTTCGAAAAAGTTTAGAATCGAGAATTTGAGAACCTGAAAAATTAGAAATTCAGAAATTCAACTTTTCGAAACACTTTCTCGTCGAAAAGTGTTTGGAACTTCGGAAAATCGGAAATGTAGATTTCAGAATTCGAAAACTCTAAATTTCGAAAATTTAGACATTCCGAAAATTGAAAACCTGAAGTGTTGGAAAATCTGAAACTTTGAAATTTTTTGGCATATTCTGTGAATAAGATCTCAGAAATTTATATATTCCGAAATTCGAAAGATGTGAAAATAAGTTCGGAAATTTTAAAAATTATTCTGAATTCTGAAAAATCGATTGATCAGAAAGGGCCGTGTCATTTTCCCTCGCATTCTTTTTCTTTCTTTTTTTTCCTTTTATTTTCTTTCTTCTACACTGTTTCAGAATTTTTTCTTCCTTTCAAATCTTTAAAATCCATACTAAAAGAATATTTCCACAAAAATTCTTTTTTCTCAAATATAGCGTGGATAAGAAAAAAATTTGGGAAGTCAGACGGAAATGACGTGAATATTTCTTCAATATTTTTCTAAAAATTTGCACTGTAGAAATAGAAGAATGTCTCTAGAATACGTCAGACACAAAATTTCGAAAGATTAAATATTCGGGCATCATCTAGCTGCTATTTCGGGTTATCTGTGAAAATTTGGGAAAATTTGGTTTATTCTGGACTTCGTTAGGGAAGGTGATACGGGAACAAACGGACACACACACTCACACACAGAATTTGGCGATTGTTATTAGTAAAGATTTTATCAGTTGACATATTTTTTATATCTTTCACGGGGACCGAGATGAATTAGCTCAAAATTGAAGGTTAGAGTTCTTGAAATTGAAGGTTAGTGAGGTGGAGTTCTATTAAAGTGTTTATGATGTTTCATATTGATGATTTCATACTCTAAACAATACATGATGAGTCATTCTAAATTTCACATGATTAGGAAATCTTGATGAAATTGTTTTTGTGAAATTTTACAGAGTTTCGTAATTTTCTTGATTTTTCTGATTTTGAATTTTGTAAAAAAAAATCAAAAAAGTTTCTTAAAATCTGAAATTCTCAAACTCAGAAATCTCGAAGTCCGAAAATCTGGAATTTCGAAAATTTTCAAATTTGGGAACTCTTTTCCGAAGTTTTCATTTTTGAGTTTTTGAATTTTAGAACTTTTCAATTTAACAATTCAGAAGTTCAAAAGTTGGAAAGTTCAGAAATTTTTAATTTTGAAAATTCTAGAATTCGGAAACTCGACAAATTGAGAACTCTAGTTTAATGTTACCTTTGAATAATACGTTTATCAAAAATTCAAATTTTCAACCTATTATCACTAACTTTTCCAAAATTTCGGGTTAGACAGTTTCTGCCGAATTCCATCAAAATATTGGCTACTTCTTTATAGCACTTCAGAAATTTTTTAGGAAAGAATCCGCGAATCAAAATCAATAAAAGATTGTCCTTCTTTCTCTTATAATCACCAACCTTTTCTGATAAACCTCCCGGGTGATTGTGAGCGAAAGTGTATGAATGTGTGCACAAATGTGTGAGGAGAAGTGTGTAGTGTCTTGTCGGCTCATGAATAAATAACACTTTCCTTCTCTCTTTATCTTCTTTTTCCAATTTTTTGTTCTGTCCAACCCAAAAAAAATCTTTGTACAATCACCACTATCCCCCTTCCCGACCCTTCTCTCTATCCGCTCGTTCGTTTTCGCGCCTCGTTTTCTTTTACTCATACATTTTTTTGTCTCTCTCTTCGTTCTTCTTCTCTCTGTCTATTCGTCATACTTCTTCTATCCCCCAACCCAACCGTTTCTATCTGTTTACTCTGTGTGTCTGGGTGTCCTAATTTGTAATTATCTCTTGATTCATGCCATTTACCCAACTCAACCATCCGTCAAGGTAAAACTTTGGGCTAACCTAATTCGAACTTCATTCTTTTCATTCCTCCGTTCGCTTTGTTTTTATTATACAATTGGTCAAGCATCATGCCTTCTTAAACGTATTCTTTAGCGTAAAACCTGTAATAGAAGGGCTCCTTAACTTTAAACTTTGAGCCAATTTTTCTCGGTTCCTGTCAAAGATTTGAAAAAGTTGTCAATTGATAAATGGTTTATCATAATATCAGAAATATTTTGTCAGTTGACACAATCTTTGATGACTTGCATAGAAATTGAGATAATTAAGCTTAAATATGACATTGTGGGAACCCTTCTATTACAGGTTTACGGTACCTGCTAAACTCATCAGAATCTTTTCAATTTCAATATTTTCAGAACCTTTTGAAAATGAGCAAAAAATGTGCTCGTGAGGACTGTGGGAAGACAGTCTATCCAATTGAAGAACTGAAATGTTTGGATAAAGTCTGGCATAAAGGATGCTTCAAATGTACGGTGTGTGGAATGACACTTTCAATGAAAAACTACAAGGGATATGATAAGAAACCTTATTGTGACCCGTAAGTTTCTAAAAAAACTTATGTTTTGAATCTGATAGTTTACAGACACTATCCAAAAACTGTCGCTTCTGTGGTAGCGGATACTCCGGAAATGAGAAGAATCGCTGAAAATACCAAGAATCAGAGTAATGTGAGTTGCTTGTATTCTAGAATATCTTTTTCAAAACAAGGATCACATTTTTTTTCAATTCAAAAAGTTACTGTAGATGACGAGAATTTCAAAAAATGTAATATAAGTAACCGTAAAACCTGTAACATAAGAGCCCCACAATGTCAACTTTGAGCTAATTTTTCTTGGCTCGTTGCAAGATATCAAAAAATTGTCAACTGATGAAACGTTTGAAGTATTATGATGAAAAATTTATCAGTTGACAACTTTTCTATATCTCTCGCAGAAATCGAGATAAATTGGCTCAAAGTTCGCAGTTTGCCTCACTACAGGTTTTACGGTACTTGTATTCTCTACTAAATTTAAAAAAGCCCTGTTCAAATTACAGATCAAATACCACGCCGAGTACGAAAAAATGAAGGGGACCAAGATCGAAATCGCCGATGATCCGGAACTTGAAAGACTGAAGAAAAATACTCAGGTTTCTAAAAACGACCCGTTCCGTAGAATTCTGAAACTTTTCCAGGTCCAATCCAATGTTTCCTATCACGGAGTTCTTGGCCAAAAAGCTCGTCAAGAAGAGAGTCGTCCAAAGGAGGAAATCTCGCCAAACCCAACACCAAGTAAGCTATTTTTTCCATTTTTCTGTCCTGTCTCATTGTCCGAAAATATATTAAAGTCCATTTTTTGGTTTTGTGTCGCACGGGCAGCAATAATTTTCCGATTCTTATATTATTTTCATTTTGCTTAATGTCTTTTGTATCGCTTTATTTTTTACACAACTAGTCCTGGTCACTGGAAATGGAGGAGTTGTTTATGGAATTGGAGTTGGAAGCAATGCGGATTCTGATTGTGGAGAAGAAGAAGAAGAAAAGGACGAAAAGGAAGAAGAATTCGTCAAACTGGAAGACGTGGAAGTAGAAGGCGAAGAAGACGATGATTATTGGCAAATCCCTGTTATTGTTTATCCCAGATAGTTACCACACTTCCTCTAACACAAGCCCATCCAAACCGTCAACTTTGAGCTCAAATATCTTGATTACCGTGAAAGATATCAAAGATTTGTCAATTGACAATTTATTTATCGCAATATCACCAATATTTTATCAGTTGGCAAATATTTGATATCTTTAACATAAATCGAGATAATTGATCTCAAACTTGACGAATTGGGTGGACTTTAAATAGAGTAAATACTGTAGATCTTGTTTGATTCTTGGATGATTTGTTTAGATCAGATTTTTTTTGTTACTTTCTTCTACCTCATTTTATTCTGGATATTCTAATGTGTCTCAGGTTTTAAAATAGCTTTTTTACTGCGAATCTTCTAATGTTTCTATTTTCTTCTATCACTTCTTCTTTTTGTGTCATATCTTTGTCTCGGGGAATACGACATCCGCGGTTTTTCGAAAACTTGGATTACTGTATCTCTGTCAGTTTTCTATATCATTTTCTGAAACTTAAAACGCCTTCAGGTGTTGTTGAACAACCCATTCAATCCACTCCAACTCCTCCAGTAAATGACCAAAAGCCGAAAGCTGTCCAATCGAATTTCAAGAAAGGACCGGCATCTGCCAAAACTGTGAAAGCCTAAAAAATCGTTCAGTTTACATCTTTACTTTATGTTTTTTCTCGAAACTTAACTCAATAAATAAAATGCACACAAACTTTTATGTTTCATGCCCCTGCCCGTCCTTGCTCTTTTCCACTTACTTTTTCCTTTACCACTAACCTATTTTCTTTTTCTTTTCAGCCCCAATTTCTCCAATGAATCATCAAACCTATTCTGCTCCAACTCAAGCCGTCGCAGCCAACTCTCATTTGATCTACTCGACAGAACAAGGAGGAGCAGGTTGGTAATTATCGGTAGAGCGAGAATGCTGATTCAGTATAGCGCACTTTGATAGGCTTATGTTGTGTACCGCTGAATGGTTCCCTTTTATTTCGCTTTCAGTTTCACCAATACCCCAAAAAACGATTGGAAGTATCGCTGATTATGATCCAATGAATGGGCAATGGGGAACGGCTGCGAATCAACCAAGAAATTCCGAAAAATTGGGATATTTGAGTAAGAGCATTTTTAATTTTTCTTTTGGCTTTGATTGCTTTTGAGCCAGTTGTTTCTTTGGAACGCACTCTGAAATGCATGTTTTCCGAACAATGGTCTTTTCTTTCGGTCTTATGGAATTGGACATTTTATACCTAAACATTTTTGAATTGCTTTCTTTCTATTAACCAATTGTTGCAGAGAATCAAGTGGATAAAGGACCAGCAAGATTTTGTGCGGATTTTGCAGGAGCTCCACCGTCTTCCGTCTCTTCAACATCCCCTCATTCGACACTTTCCTCCCCGCAAAGCGCTGTTTCGCCAACTGGAAAAGCTGGTTTCGCTGTAAAAGCGATTTATGATTATTCTGCTGCTGATAAAGATGAGGTATATTTTAATTTCTAAACATTAGATTTAAAAAAAACAAATTTCTTGCAGATTTCCTTCCTAGAAGGCGATATTATTGTGAATTGCGAAAAGATTGACGATGGATGGATGACTGGAACAGTTCAAAGAACGCTTCAATGGGGAATGCTTCCAGCTAATTATGTCCAGCCTCACAAACTTCCAACTGGACTTCACAGACTTTCCTAATTTTTCCGTTGTTCTTATTATCATTACCATGACTTCTGCTCACAGTTTGCACCCCAAAACAGCTTCAAAGTGCTTCAAAATTTTTTAGAAAAAAACAATCTACAAAACGGGTCAAGTCAACCTTCTAAATGCCTTTTTCTATAATTTTCTTCTTTCAATCTAAAAATTTCTGGTGCTCACTAATAAACAATTGCTAAAGTTTTATCTCTGATTGACAGGATTTTCATACCGGAAAGGAATGAGACACGTGATAATAGAACATATAGGTGACGAAAATTACAAAAACTTGCAACTGTAAAACACTGTAACTAGATGAGAATAAATTTATAATAACTAAATTAAAAGAAATCTCCTGCTTGTGCACGGCCAGCAACGGAGGGTCTAGATGGGCCAGCACCGTCGTCGTCTTCTCTTCGAGGTTTCCGAATCATCGACTCGATTCCAGGCGTCCCGGGAGTTCTTGCTCCTTGACTCCACGAAGACCCTGGAGTGCCCGATCCACGACTCCAGGCAGAACCAGGTGTTTCAGAACGTTTAGAATCGGAAGACCTAGACCAGGCGGATCCTATTTTTGGTGAAGCAAATGGAGATCTATGGACGGGTATCATTTTGAGACCAAGCTTCTTCGTGGCAAGTTTCTGAGCTGCCGGAGAAAGTTGAGCAAGTTTATCGGAGACACGCTTCGATCCAAATCCTGGTGTTCGACTGAAAATTCAAATTCATACTGTTGAAACTGAATAAATTGAAATACTCACTGTGCTCCTTCGGCTGCTTTAATTGCAACTTTCCGTTTGTCTCGATATTTGGCAGCAATTGAATCATTCATTGATTGAGCAATTTTCTCGCGGTAAGGCATTTCCGGTATTTTGAAAATTGGTGCAGCGTCAGGTAAAGTGTGTTCTGTTACATCAGGCGCATCAAGACGGAATGGAGTTCCATCGATTTCTCCCCATGTCATAAGCGGGGAGTCCATGTCATCCGGATTTGGATTCGGTGTTTCCAGAAGCTTGAATGAATTTGCAGGTGTCACTTCGTTTCCCAAAAAGTCAACTTTTCCAGCATTTGCAAGAGCATGACTGACAGCCGCTCTGGTCATCGCCTCATCACTCGGTTTCAATCTTCCACTATCTGGAAACCGTGTTCCTTTTCTATTTATTTCAGTCTTTTGTCTTTTTGCAGCTTCCGCTTGCTCGGCGGGTGTCAATGCTGCTCCTTCTGGATTAAATAGAACGGTATTCCAAGCCTTGTACTTCCAGTTATCAAGGTGCAATGGTCGGTTGTCATCGGAGTCGACGGCATGTTTCAAAGCGAGTTGTACATCTGCTTCAGCAGCAATAGCTTGTCGAACCACCTAAAAAATTTGGTAAAAAATGACGGTAAAAAATTTAGGATTATTTGCTTACCAAATTCTTGTTGTGCTCCTCTTCTGCTTTATAAACCCACGGTCTTCTAGCATCTTCTCGTTCTCTCATGACTTTTGCCAATTCTTCAAATGAGGCATTATCTTCAGAAGTATATTTATTCAAATAAGATGTCAATGTCTCCTGATTCTTTTTCCGTCGTTTTTTGTTTATTGCCTGTAAATCTTGCCAAACGATAATTAGCACCACTAATAATGAAAGCTCACCTCATTATCTCCCTCTTCGTTTGCAAATGGCATGGGACTTTGCATCCAATCATGTTTTCCAGAATTAGAAGATGGGCCAGGAGTTTCAGAATCGAACTGCTCGTCGTAGGGAGCTTCAGAAGTTGTTGAGCGTGTGGTAGGAGGGTTGATTGAGGTTCTGTCCGTACGAATGCTTCCCGTACTGCAGTATTTCATTTGGAGCTCCTTGATTTTAGTAATATCTTTTTTGGCAACAGCTTCGAGATACTCTTTCTGAGCCTGTAACGATTAATATAAGCGTTAAACATTCAAATTCATTGATTAAACACCTGCATTTTTTTCAATTGTGGAAAATAGTCTTTTTCTATTATTTTATCGAGTCCAGCGATGTACTTCTCCTCGGGAACCACTTGTCGCTCATGTTTCTTGCTAGCCAAGGTCTTTTGCGAGACTTTCACCACTTTTCCTTCGTTGGTCGATTTCGGAACAATAAGCTTCGCCTTTTCATCAATTTTATCAAACGAAGACATTTTAGACTAGGATTAACTGAAATAAGTAGAGGAGAAAACAATTCTAGAAATTCGTTGCGAAAGTGCGGAGTGTCGTTGCGCGTGCTGCTACCGATGGCCGTGGCCTAGGACCCGACCAGTGTACTCCTCGTGGACAAAATCGTGATTCAAATAAATACCGTATTTTTTTCCGGAACAGGGAAAACAAGAAAGCTGAAATGTCGTCGCCCAAAAATGAAGAAGTTGTGCGAATCAGCGCCAATGAGTACTGGCAAGATATCAAAGATGAATACCTCCAAAAACTTGCCAGTACGGACCCTGCTGAAATCTACCCTAGCAACAATCCGGGACCGGAAACTGCCGATGGTAAAGTGAATTTCGAATGCCATTGCGTAGGACACCTTGTTGCGAGTCCGTGTGGTTTTGAATTTCGGGAAGTAATCACTTGCCAGAAAAGCAGCAGTGAAGATCAGATGGAACAGGTAACCGATTTATAGAAATCTCAATTATTTCTCAGATTTTTTCAGGGAGCTTGTGGCAAAGAACTGCTATCTTTTATGGAATGTGTGACACGGACGCAATGCTTCGGATCCAGTGGATCTCCTGACAAATATAGCCAATAATATAGTTTTTTTCTTTTTCTTACTATAGTAATTTTCATTTTGTTATTTATAAAAGTTGTTTCCCTTGTTTTGTGATGTTTCTTGTTTCTATGCATTACAGTAGTGTATTGCGAAATGTTTATTTGCTCACATCCTATCCTCAATCCTCGAACACTCGTCGTTTTCTTTTTTCTTTTGGTGGATGTTCGGATGTTCTTTCGGACAGCTTGAAATATTCTCTTCCTTTTTTCCATTTCCACTTAAAACCATTGCTGTGTTTCGGTTCAAGAGACAGCATGATGTCCGCGGCTTAAATATGGTAATAACGTAGAAAGTCTTCAGCCGGCCGACGTTTATGATGATGCTGCAGACTCGTTTTTGTTTGAATTCCCGTCGCTTGGCGATAAATTACCTTATTTATCGACAGATATTTCGTTGAAAGTATTTTTCAATACAATTGTGAATGATCAGACATGAGCGGAATTCCTTATTCCTTATTCGTTCTTCCTTGTTCCGGGTGTTTATTTTATTCCTTATTCCTTATTCCTTCTTCCGGGTTTTTCAATTTTTATTCCTTATTCCTTATTCCTCATTCCTGATTTTTTCTTATTCTTCCGGATAGTTCGAACAATTAAAAGTTTGAAATTTAAAATTAAAAAAAACGCTTTCTAAACCTAAACTACCACTTAAAAAGTCGTTTAATGAAGCCTGAATTCCTATTTTATATGTTTTATCAAAAATTTCAAAAAACATTCGGCTTTTTTTTAAAATTTTGTTCCGTATTCCTTATTCCTTCTTCCTTATTCCGGGTGTTCTTTCTATTCCTTATTCCTTATCCCTTCTTCCGGGTTTTTCAATTTTGATTCCTTATTCCCTATTCCTGATTTTTAATTTTTGTTCCTTATTCCTTATTCCTTCTTCCGGATTTTCAAAAATTTTATTCCGCTCATGTCTGTAACTGATATCGGCTAGTGTCTTTAGAAATGTTATTTTCTAAGCCAAGCTATAAATTTTCGGAACGGAATTCCGAAGATTTTTTTCGGAATGAAATTTCGACTAGAATATTTCCGAAGCTTTGTTTCGGAATCGACTTCCGATCGGGTTTTTGCTGATTTTTTTTCAGGAATTAGACTTTTGAAATACTGTATGTCAAAGGCGCACGCGAAAGTCTCTCTAGCGGGTCTCGAGCGGAATTACTTGTCACACACTGGGGGTTCAATCGCCGTTGACAGGTCTTATCACTTAAAAAACACTGCAAGTGGTCCTCAAAACTAGAAAAATCTGAAGAGACTGAGAAGATCCTTTGCTAAATCAAAAATAGCATTACAGAAAAAATCTGATACAGGGTATGACTGTTTGTTTGTTGGGCACTCTTAGCACCAGTCCGTTTACTCGTCTATTGATCTTTTTTAAATAGATGATAAGATGATAAAAAGTTTTAAAAGTGGCTGGAGCTTATCTTCGAACTGGATTTGATGAAAAATAGTGAGATATTGAGCTAAATAATCTTGAAAACAATTGTTTTTCGAATTAGAGAAGAAACTTAATACTGGCGAGATCAATCGCACAGATTGTACACTCTTAAATCTAGATCGACAGTCTTCCTAATTTAGATTCCACTCGCACTTAGAAGATAACAGTTCTTTTTCAGGATGATATTAATTGTAAGAAGATAATTTCTAGCTCACAAACCGAAATAAAAACGATTCAAATAAATATTTTACAGTTCATCGAAAATCAAAAAACAAGAAAATTGAGTCATAGTCAATAGAGCAACACATACTACTGTCATATATAAAGTGATGTGCTGACTGAGAGTATAGCTGATATCTCATAAGTTTTGCTTTTCTTTCATCCTCCCAACACAAGACATTTTCAAGTAGCTCCTCGGGTTTTCCCTTTTTCTACCGTCTCTAACTGGGTGCGGAGGGGCGCAAACACTGAGGAGAAAAGCCTACACTTCAAACGACACCCCACTCCTTTTTCTCTAAATCTGTGGAATGGTGGTTGTCCTCAACACTAACTCTCAACTTGGTAGTTTTGGATTTAAAATTTCAAATTTGAGCTTCATCTGGATTTTGAGAAAATCACTGAGATGAAAGTAGTAGAGTTACTGATGTTTGGAATGAGCGATATTTTTCGGAATGTCGAAAATTCCGAATTTCGGAACATTCTGGCTCTGAAAATTTCAGAAATTAGGAATATTCCGGTTTTCAAAATATCGGAATTTGTCAGCACCGAATTTTAAAGTATGAAATTCCACTTTCCTCTCAAAAAAGCGCAAAAAAATTGTGAAAAATCGACAAACAAATCTCGAAAACGCAAAAACAG